TCCTCGCCCTCATCCTCGCTAATTCCTTCCTCCACCGTCTCTCTTTCTTCTGTCTTCTGTTCTTCCATTTCGTCACCCGTCCGATCTGCATGCTCCAGATTTTTATCAAGGTCTTCTTCATCTTCCCTTTTTCATTTTTCTCTCCCTTTAAGCACATCTTCCTCCATTTTATCGCCGTGTTTGTTTTCTTCGTTTTGCTTTCCATCTCCCTTCAGCGAGCCCTCCCCCTCCTTTCTTCCCTGTCCATCTGTCTGTCCCCCCCCCTCCCCGTCCACCTCCATCTCCTTTTCTGAGTTATCGTCCCTCGGTATTTTCTCTTTCCCCTCTCCATCCCTCTCCTTTTGCTTCTCCTTTTGTCCCTCTGGGTCGGGGTTCGTTTTCGCAGATTCTTCTGTCCCCTTCGTGGGGGACTTCTCTTCATGATCCCTTTGTTCCTTGTTGCCTTTTTTATTGGACCGGGGGGGGACGGGATGTGGATCTGACTCCTTTACCGGACCCTTCCCCTTAACTTTATCTACATAGGAGACCCCTTTTTTCTTTGGGCAGTCGGGATCACCTTCCAAATGGAAGTATTGCCTGCAAGCAGGGCACCAGTGCGTGGTCGCACATACAACCTCAATCTCAACGTACCCATCCCTGCTCAAATCCAGAACCAGATATCTTTTGTACCTTAACCGTGCAGCCGACTCCAAATCAAAACGAACATTTACCAAATTAGATGACAGTTTATCCTTATATGCCGTAAATTTTTTGACTACTTCCCCAAATGCATCTTCCACCGCTCCTCGTAGCTGGACTAGGTTCGTGATTGGAACCTGTTGACAACTGATCCAAAAGAATTTGTGCCTCGAGACTTCCCTCCACTCCCAAAGTTCCTTCTCCGTCATCCATGGCTCGAAGGAGATCGTATATTCCTTATTATCCAAAGTCAATTTGGTTTGCCGTATTCGAAGCATGTAGTATGACGCAATTTCGCTCGCTGTTGCTACGTACGTAACTAAGTCCCTCCGTTCATTGTGGAACAAGCCACGTTTTGGGGAGGCTGCTACTTCGCCACTTGTAGCCCACACGTTTTCATATAAGCGGAGACGTCAAACGACAGAGACGTTGACTCGTCGCCGAAAAAGATTGAGACTGCGTGTTCTTTCAACCATTCTGCTTGAGCGTGATACACTTCCGGATTGACCGTGACTCTTACATAATTGTCTTAAACTTCCACCCGGTTTGGGGCGAGTTTCGTTGGTAGCACACCATCTGAGTAACATTTCGAGAATATTTCGCTGATTCGAGTTCTCTCTCCTTCCGCCATCGTCGAAGGGTTCAAACCACTCAAAGCAGTTGCCATTTCGAAATGTTCCTCAGCTGGGGGGCAGCGGAAGCATGCTCTGCTTATTGTTCTTTATCCTCACAGTAATTAAATAAGATATTTAGCGGTAGAGGCTTCAAATAAATTATATGGGACAACACAACCCCTCCCCCCTCAGGCGGTGTGTGAATATTACCTAAGCCCTTGGGCTTGTTCTCTCCTTTCATGAATCATAAGTTGGTTGCACTCGTCTTCTCTTCGTAGGAGATCTTCGCTTACACTTGACCTTCTTTCCCGTTGTCGAGCGCATCGGCCCGACACCACTCAGAGGTAGTGCGGGACCCTCCCGGACACGTCACGCAGGAGCCGGAATGCAACCCTTATTGCGATACACTCGTGGAGCTTCCATAAGTCGCTCTGGCCGGGTGCGCCAACCATACCTCTCGCGAACCCCTACGACAGGACAGGGCCTACGCGAGGCACGACTACCTCCACCTTACGGGAGCTGTCACCTCCCTTCGGTGGGCGTATCCCCGCCGAGCTACCAGTCCACAGTACGAAGGCTACTCGGTTGCAATCGCAGAGGTGGACCAGCCGAGGGCGTTTCTCGTTCGTTGTAGCATAGGGGGTACGCGCGGTAATACACCTATCAGACCCGCACGCGAACCGACATCTTGGGGGGGCTGAAGTCCCAGGCGCGGCTCGACGTCGGTCGACTAGGACGCATCCCACACACCACGCGCATACTACTCTAACAGACGCAGACAGCGACACACACACACACACATACGCAAACCGGCACAACACTAGCTATGCGACCACGCTCCTAGCCCCTTGGCGACCATCCCATAACTCTTCAATGCGGAAGTCGGGTAGGCGCCGCGCGCGAGACTCGATATAAAACCGCGCGGGCGTAGGACTGCTCACATCGACTCGTAGTGCAACCGTATGCAAGCGGTCACAACGATGGCGTACTATGTAGTACCCATACTCGCGTGGCCCTTGTTAATCCCGAGGGCCGCGTTCGACGCTCAAGTGTCGGCTGATACGCGCCTAGAGGGTTAATCTCTCGACGCCGGACAACCACCATGTGCTGTTGGAGACCACACCCTCTTCTGCATCCCGTGCAGAGGGGTTGAGTAGACAGCTTTAGGTTGTCGTGGCGGTCAAACATCAAGGGGTTTGACTTTGATGGCCGCCACGGACTATAACGTCCAACCATGAAAACTCAAAAAGGAAAACTCACTCCAACTCTCATTAGTTTAGTGGCCCCCTAGAATAGAAGGGGTAGACAGGCCCAAGCGACGCGCGTACGGAGGGGGCCCGGTATCCTACCCATAGGCTACCCGATGTCCGGGATAGTGAGGCTCGTACACGGACACCCATAGGCCAACTAGGATTAGTCCTTCGCCCACGTGCCGCTTCACGATACCAAAACCCCGAGTCTACTGACCGCGTCGCGCTCGTGGTCTCACCGCCTGGCCCATAACTTTTTAGTGCGAGAATCGGCGAGCGCTGTGCGTGCGGACTTAATATAAGATCGCGCGGACGCAGGGCCAATGCATATCGATTCACTATGCAGCGCTATGCGAGTAACGGTGATGACGGCGCATTATGTGGTGCCCATACCCAAATGGCCTATTCTGAGCCGCACGACTGCTTCCGATGCTCGGGCGTTGGCTGAAGTGCGCGCTACGGGGGGGGTAACCCCTTAGCGGGCGCAAACCCGGCCTGAGGGCCTTACCGCCTTCTGCACCCTGAGGTGTCCCAAAGGGTGCGGGGTAAGACGGTCCCTAGGGCGGGAAGGGATTTGGAGCCAACAGAAAAACATCCTGGTCTTAACAGTTATGTTTTTATACACCCTTGTGTTAAAAATAAGTTGACTATATTGAGTAACAACAGTTCTTAAACACGCACCGGTTTTTAACCTTGACCGATAAACACACATGTGTTGAACCTTACTTCAACACAAAAAATGTTCACGACTTCGCTGCGGGCTTCCAAATCAATATGACAAACATTTTCCAACGTTGTTCCAACGTTTGATGATGAGTTAAGTCATCTTTGGTCATATTGTATCCCTGATTTGCACGAACGTTTGAGAGTTTATTGCCTAACTCATTGCAATGTCTGAGCAACATTGAGATATCATACTAAAAAAAAAATATTGTTTAAAACTAGTTGGAACTCTCAACGAGACAATCAATGTAAATCCGTCGCGACACTTGTCCTTGCTTCTCTCTCTCTCTCTCTCTCTCTCTCTCTCTCTCTCTCTCTCTCTCTCT